TGTAACAATTTTTTATTTCTAAAAAAATTAAATTAAAATAAATAAAAAATAAATATAAAATATAAATAAAATAATAATAAATAGACTATCAATTTTTAGAGGAAGGATAGATAAGATACTCTAAATTATAGATTTAGAATTCAGATTTATCATTTTTAATCCTAAATCTATAATCTAGAATTATGAATTTAAATTTGCAAGCAAAGTTTTCTAATAAATTATTATTAAAAAAATTATATTTAACAAATATTTTAATGATCATTCAACTGGGATTTATGGGTTATATTATATTAAAAAATATAAAATAAATGTTATATCACTAAATTTAATGATATAATAGATTACCAAATAAGAAAATTTTAGTAGCTGTTTTTATATTAAGATAATAAATAAATTTAAATTATATAATTTTATAAATTAAATATTAATAATATAAAATATAAATTTAGATTATATTATAATAAATTATTACATAAAAATATATATATTATATAAATATATGAATTATTATCCTTTTAATTGTTTTGCTTACAAATTTATAAGCAATTTTTTTTATTAATTACAATTATTTTAATTATTTTTAAATATTTTAAAATATATTATTAAAAAATTAATATTTTTTATAATAAATTTTATATTTTTAAGTAAAAATTAAAAAAATGTAATTAATTAGTGATTTTTTAAAGATAAATAAATAATAAATTATTATAAAAAAATTAAAATTTTAAACTTATATATCTTATTATTTATTAACCTTAAAAATATAAAAATTTATTATTTAATAAATCTTAATATGATAAATCTAATAAACTAAATATTATATTTTTATAATTATTAAATAATAAATTATTTTTAAAAATTAAAATTTGAAAAATTTATATATATTAATAATTATGAATTTTAAAGGTTTAAAAATACTATTATAGATAAATTATAATATGATAAATTTAAAATTTTATTTTATTTTTTTATAATTATTAGATATCAAAATATTTTAAGTTTTCTAAAATGTTTTAAAAACTAGTTTATACTTATAATTTTATGAGATAATATTATCATATTATATATTATACCTTTAAAATATTACATATTATATACTTTTGAAATATTATATATTGTAAACTTTTTAAATATTAAATATAAAAATTTGTATATAATTTTTCATTATTTTAAATAAGTTTTGTATATATTTTGAATAATTCAATACTATATTTTCTTATTTATTATAAAGAATTATTTTTTTAAAATATAAAATATATAGAGTTTTAATACATTAATAATCCTTTAACATTTATAGTATTTGTCATTTTAAGTATATTTACTGAACATTACTTTATACTTTTTTAAGTTTAAATCAAAGTTTCTTAAAGTTTAAAATATTATCATATAAGAATACTTTAATAAGATAATCAGTACTACTCAAATCAATCAATAAAATATACTGTATTTGATCTACATTATGATGTATTCCTAATAAAATTATCTGATTTATAAATCATCAATTACTAAATGTAAATAATTTATATTTTGTATTATATTTAATAAAATAATATTGTCTATTAATTTGAGTTAAATTAACTTTATAAAAAAGATTTTAAATATTAGTAATTAGTATTATATAAGATCTTCAATAAATAATAGAATTAGAAGTTGTTTTCATATCTTATTATAAATTCAACTTATTTTGTTTATACTTATTATTGACAATTATTAAAATTTTCTAAAGTTGATTTTTTCAATGATTTTTGTTATTTTATATTTAGTAATGTTAAAAATGAAGCTTAATTTGAAAAATCAATTTGGATATAAATTTTATTTATATCAGAAGAAATTATTATCCAAAAAGAATTATTTAATTCTTTATTCTGATAAAAAACAATTCTAAAATTATATTTTAATATCATTAATAACTCAACTTTAGTAAATAATTATAATGTTAAAGAAGAAGGTAATTAATAGTTATAAAAATAATTAGAAAGATTAAGTAATTTCACAAATTACCTAAGTTTTTCATAATAATAATAAATTTAGAATAAAGATTGAAATAATGAGAGAATAAATTTTCTCATTAATATTTAAAAGGTATTAAATTCATATTATAGATCATATGATTTACTATGTATAATTAGAAAAATAGAAGAAATAATATTATTTATTGCAAAGTTATAATATTTTTTTCAATAATATATATTTAAATAAGTTTTAATTAATATGTATTTTTCTAAATATTAATTCATAAAATACCTAATTTAAAATTAGAATAATTTATTAAAATTTAATTATGAATAATTAACACTGATATTAATAATAAATATGAATAATAAACTTTTCAAATGATGAATTTTTTTATGATAAAACTTTTATGAAATATTTAAATTTTATAATGCTATTTTTTATAGTTTTAAAATTATAATTATATACAAGGTATAAAAATAATTTAACATAAAAAATTTCTGGATTCTATATTATACAAAAAATTATAAATACTCAAATTATAGAATAATAAATAACATCTGATATATGTAATTATAGCCATAGGATATACAATTAACCATACCTAGATAGTAGATCTTACTACTATGATCACTAAATCATTGTCATTAATTATCTCTTTATAAGTATTCATAGATAATACTAATTAGATAGCTAGTTAATAACAAACTCTTGAAGCTATTTTGAATATTGCTGAAGAATTTTGTAATCTTACTAGATCAGTTCTAAATAAAAACAAATCAAAATTATTGACAATAAAAACTATCGATGCTCTAACATTATCTCTTAAATTTAAATTATTAACTATTAATATCAAACTTGAAACTAGATCTATTCGCTTCTTAGAAGTATGGATCAATAGTCAACATTCATAAATATATGTCAAAAAATAGATCACTTTCAATATTAATTGATTCATCTCCTCAATAAGATATAAACTATTAATTGATAAATAAATCTCGTATATATAATTAATATAGTGCTCTATCTTTACTCAAGTATCATAATCAACTTACTCCTTTATCACAAAAGGAATATCTTAAACTATTTGTACTAGTTCGTTTATTTTTAAAAAAAATAGATTTACTTCTTCACTTCCTAATGTTCTTTTGAATTTTTACAATTCTATAATTTGAGTGATCTTTGGTTTCTTCAAATATAATCTCTTTCAACTGCCCTTCTTTATCAATTCAATAACAACACCTTTTACAAAAACATCTTCTTAATTCATCTCTTACAACTGCAATCTTATTATGTTCTCATCATATCTCTACTTAACTATTGAACTTATCCTTTTGATAAAATTTCATACAAAAATTTAATTAGTGCTTCCCTCTTACTATTCTATCTAACTTCAAAGTATTTATTTTTCACATCTCCTCTTCTTATTAATCAAATTATAGAAGACACATGTTCTCTCTCTAGATTATTTTTCTTTAAACTATTAAATTCATTTAAAAAGATATTAACTAATCACAACCTATTCTACTTAGACTAACTAATCTCTTTTTCAGAATTACAACTCATCACTAGCTTTAATTTTTTCTACAGAGATTTTAATCATACTAATACTAACTTTCCTTCTTTTAAATTCTTTTTAATTATTGAAAATCTAATTTTAAAAAATTATATACATAGAACACTCAAATTTAAGTTTATATTAGCTTCTCCTTTACCTTACTATAGATCAGTTACTCATATACCTCCTTTACATAATAGAAAAAAAGAGTTTGTATCTTCTTAGAATCCTGTAATTAATGCTTCTTCATTTGGTCAAATTATAGATAAAAGTCTTAATAATAATTACTTCATCTGTCAAAATTTTATTTGCATCATAAATAACAAAAATATTAGCCAGCTTTTTAAATATAAAGGATATACTTTATTTATATTTAATATTAGAATTAATACATGCACCTTTATCATTCTTATAGTAAAAGTTTTTTAAATACATATATTTGTTAAACAACCTCATACTCTTAATAATCAACTGAAAAACTCACTTATAAAAATCTTCAGAATTACATACTGCTCTTATATTGCTAAATTACTAATAAATTTATTATTAACAAATCTGATTAATCTTTTGATTCATGTTTCATTTCACATACCTATACTTAAATCCATTTAACTGACTCTTATTAATCAGACTTCAGTCAAATTCTATACTGATAGTTTATTTAAACTACCTAGATCTAACTTATGTAAGATAGATCTAAGATGTATTTGTATTGACATTACTAATAATTATCATTTCTTTAAAGTTTCACTTGAAAACTGACCTTCTTTTACATAGGTTAGACAAGTCCAGTCCAGTCCGGTCTTAGTCCTAAAAGACCGGTCTTTTATTTTGAGATGAACTGGACCAGTTCTTATTATAGTCTGAAGACTAATCCAAAAACTGGTTTATGAATCGGTCCCAATTTTAAGAACCCAGTGTTTTATTTAAATTAGTCTTTATAGAAAAATAATTAATGCTAATAAAGTTCGTTATTTTATTGTATAAATTTTAAAATTTTATTATTTAATAATTCTCAAATTATGTTATTATGATTACTAATAACTAATTTAATTTTAACTACATATTTTATTTCGTATTCAAGATCGTAAACATAAACTTGCTCTAGCCGTTTCTGAATCCAGCCTATTTCTCTGTGATGTAATAGTTTGACCCGCAATAGAAAATGCTTGTTCAGAAGCAACACTTGTTGCTTATACAGAAAGATAATCACGCGCAATAATGCTTAAAATTGAATATTCATTTTTTTGAGCATACCACCACAAAAGAGGATCAACTTTATCTTCTAATGGTGCAGATAAATACCGCATTAATTCATGTAATATTAAAGATTGTTTACCAGCTGTTGAATTATTATTAGGTACATTGACGGGAAAATTATTATTTTTTTGACGAAGATGACGAAAATAGTTACGTGTATCAATTATATTATCACCAATAATATTTGTTGCTGTTTCTTCTATAGGCAATTTGCAATATGAAACTAATTCTAAAATTGATCTTTTTGCATCTTCACTTTCTTATTCATTTTTAAAGGCGAATAGCTTATTACGAGGATTCAAAATAGCAGAAATTTGTGAGGTTTGATCTAGTATTGGCTAATACTGTTCCAATTTATGGTAAATAATATTAGCAATCATTGGTTGAGTAAATGTTGAATCACTAAAATGAGTTTCTAAGTTTTCCAAGATACTTAAAAAGCAAAATCTAATATCACCATGTGTAGGATAAGTTGAAACAGATAAAAGATTTATTGCACGTTCAATTGGTTCTAATAAAGTCATTATATTCTTTGTTTTTTTTAAAAAAAAGTTAATTTAAAATATTAAAAAAAATTAAAAAAAATTAAAAGCAATAATATTTATAAATAAAAAAAACTTACATTGATACTTTGAATTTCACTATCTGAAGGATAACGATTTTGAACATTTCGATTATCAGCTTGAAGTATTTGCAATGCGGGTTGTAAATAATTGAATTTTTTTAACATATAGTATGTTGAATTCCAACGGGTAGTACAATCAATTTCTGGAGCCAGATAATCAATATTTTTTATAGTACATAAAATCTTTAAAGAAGTAATGGTAGGTGATAATGATCGTAAATATATCATTAAACTTCGAACTATTATTACTGCGGTATCGATTAATTGAAGTCCTTCTTGTACAGCAAGATTTAAAATATGTGCCGCACATCGATAATGTGAAAAATGAAGATTATCAAATCCCTCTTCTAATTTATTAGCTATAATTCTCCTACAAACTACCATTACTGATGCATTGTCTGTTGTTAAAGCCAAAGTTTTTTATTAAGCTGATATTCATATAAAATTTGCATAATAGCTTCGGACATATTTGCTCCAGTATGTTGTACTGATATTGGAATAATATCAAGTAAAAAATTATTTAATTTCCAATCTTTATTAACATAATAAATAGTTAGACTAAAAAAGGCAGCATTATTTCAAGCCGTCCACATATCTGCTGTAAAAGATACTATTTCTGGAATTTGTTCAATTACAACTTTTACTTTAAGTTTTTGTTCTTCAAATCTTAACATTATTTGATCACATACAGTATACTGATTATGGAATCTATATCATAGATCAAAAGTTGAAATCATTTCACGCCATTCTTTTTCTTCTACTACATTAAATAATTGTAAATCACAAATTAACCAATTTTGTACAGCTTTATCACGACGTTCCTGTTCAATTTGAGGATGTGGGTCATTCCGATATTCATGTAAAGTTCTTTGCTTTTTTGGTATATTAATTGAATGTGAATTTAAATAACGTCTTAAAGTAGAAACGCTGGTCCCTTTTGAAAATTCTTGTTTGCATTTTTTGCAAACAAGTTTTTCACTTTTTCCTGGTAAATTATCATCAAAAAATTTCCATACAGCACTAGAACGAGCTTTTTTTCTGAAATTGAAATGTAATATTGAACCTGCTGTAGAACCATCTAAGTTAATTTCACCATCATCATCTAAGTCAACTTCACCATCATCATCTAAGTTAACTTCGCCATCAGCTTCACCATCGACTTCATCATCATTATCTTTACTATCTACATCGCTATCTTTCTCATCTCCTTTATTAGACATTATATAAAATTAATTGGTAGTTTTTTTTAACTAATATGAGGTTGTTATTGAATAGTAAAAGTAAAATAATTTTCAAACATAATGATTAAACATTACAATATTTTCGTTTAAATAAAAAAAAAAGATTATCATCGTTGTATTACATATCGCAAATGATTGATAAACATTTTTAGTTAATTCGTTTAATTTGTGTTAGTCAATCACATGCATATTAAAGTCAAAAATCAATTTAAATTATTATAATTTTATTTAAACTATTTTACTTTATTTTTGATAATAAAGGAACGTTATATACGTTATATGTATTTAGAATTAAAAAAAATAAAATTATTTTTATTAGGATCAGTTTGGATTAGTCCTAAAATCTGAGACTGCGGACTAATAAGACCGGTCTAAAAATCAGTTTAAAAACTGGTTTTCCTAGGACCGATCCAACCCTACTTCTACATATGTTAAAATGTACATTTTTTTCATAATTCTCATCATCTTGCCTTCTTTAGCTACAGTTGATATCTTCTTAAATAGTCATATTATAATATATGACTATGATAGATACGTTTTATAAAATTGCCTCTCATCTTACAAATTTAAAAAAAATACTTAATCACTCTTTTTAGAATCTTATAAAACATGTAGTAATTATACCCAATCTTCATATTTACTTCCACAAAGTCAAGGTACTCTTTGGGGATCACTTCAATAATATTACTAATTAGTTTGCTAAAGATGGTTGCAATATGCCCCCTATAGTTCTAAGATTAAATAGAGTTCTACTTTTTGAGCTTACCTTCTCTTTCTACAATACCCTATTAAGATATTTATTCGTAGTTTTAAAAACAAATGTTCTTAACATATAACTTTGGTGATTTTCTTGATCTCAACAGAAATTATTATCTCAGACATTTCACAAATAATCAATCTATTAATTGGTCTGCTATCTGCTCACTGCTATCTCTAGATTCTTTATCCATTATCACTTCTTTTGCTATTTCTAAGCTCAAAATATTCATTATCAAAAATTTTATTAACGAACTTCTAACACTTTAAAGACTCTTCTTATTATAACCTGATATTTATGACTATTAGTGCTATATAAGCTGTGGTATCACTACTGAAACTTCATTGCATCTCTAGAAATACTTTGCTTACTTATTTAGATTACAAAATATTGTTTGAATAACAAAAGATGATTTACTAGATCACCTCAATAAATTTAATAGTTCATCATTTATAATACATCTACTTAAGCTATTTACTACATTTAATGATATTTTCGTCTCACACTATCAAGATCAAATAGTTATATAAATATTATATGTTCACTTATTTTTTCTTTATTAGTTGATGTTATTCATAAAATCACTAGAAATAAAATACGTTGCCTCTTTATGATTACTTAATCAATCTTAATTTTTTATAAAAATTTATTTGAAGATATTTGAAAATATTATTGCAATTTGATGATTGCTAAAGAACAGTTATTAGAAATTACCAAAGAAAATAAACTTAACCGAAATGCTAATTCATTCTTAAGATATGAAGAAATAACAGTTTTATTTTATTAATAGGAAATTTAAATACACTTAGCAATTAATTTGGCTATGCTTTTTCAGATTTTTAGATTACACTAACACTTTCTTTTTCTTCTCTTATTGATAATAATTTTTATTAGATATGCACTTAGTGGTTTTTTAAAGAAGAAAAATAATGATCAGTTGATTTAAACAGGTTTGCAATATCTATATGGAATAGTTAGTACTTAGTCTAGATTTATTTGATTTACTTTATATTTCTTTTATATAAATTTAATAAAGTTATTGGTAGTGTCACATTATTAAAAAAAAATAATATTACAAAAAGAAGCTTTAATATATTAAATGTATTAAATTTATTAAAGATCTTTATTTTAACATTTATGTTATTTTTTTGTTATAATAATTTTATTTATTATACTAGCTGTTGCTTATTATTTTATATCAGAATTAAATTATATAATATTATACAAATTTTAAAAATAGAAATTTATATAATAAATTTCAAAATTCAAACTTAAATTTTACTAATAAGATAAAATTTTCTTTTTAGAAATATATGTTACATTACACATTTAATGAATTTTTTATACAGATATTATAAATATTATAAATTTTTTTAATTAAATAATTTTGTAAAATTATATTTATTTCTTTTTAGTTTACCATATTACTTAAATTTTTTGTTATTTTATTGTAATTACTTTAATTATGTTATTATTATTATTCTATTTCTTTTATTTATTATAATTCTTATCTTATTTTATAGATTAGTATTTTTGTACAAATAGTTTTGTTAACAGAATTTTTAAAGAGAGATTTTATTATGATTCACTTGTATAAATTAGTTTAATATTATGATCAAACTTTTGATAAAGATACAAAGAAATTTAAATAAGAATTTATTATTTAAACTATAGAGTTATAAGTCTAATCCCAAGACTTATTTAGATTTATTATCTTATTTAGGAATAAAACTGTTAAGTTTGATAATACATTCATTTTAATCATACTAATAAATGTATTTAAATTTTAAAAAAATTTTTTATATCCAGTTTTTCCTAGATATTATTACTTGTAACTTTTTTTTATTGGAATTTTGAAATTCTGACAGGTCATAACTTTTCTAAGATTAGAGTTCTAGACGAGTCAAGTTAACTCACAAGTTAGATAAGCTAAGTCAAGTTTAAATCAAATCAAGTTTATATTTTTTTGATTTGATAATTTATGAGTCAAGCCAAATTTAAGTCAAATTAAATATTTAACTTGACTCAATTTAAACTTGACTTGATTCGAGTTGACTCAAGTTAATTTGAAATAGTATTATTTTTAAAGATATTAAAATCCAGTCCAGTCCTGATCCTAAAATTTCTAGTCTATAGGATTTAAGTCCTAAGACTGAATTCTAGAAATGATCCTAAAACTGCAGTTCAAAGATTGCAGTCCTATAGAAAAATAATCATTTAAGAAGAATAATGAGAAATTGTTCACTTTTCTCTTCTTCTTTCCTCTCGCCTGATCTTTTCATTTATTTTATTTTTTTTTTTAATTTTTTTTGATTTTGTTCTTTTAATTTTAAATTTTTTCATTTTTAATTAATTTTTTTTCGATATTGTTTTTTAAATAATTTTTTTTTTATTTTTTTTAATTTTTTTCAATATTGTTTTTTTAATTTTTAATTTTTTTTTATTCTTTTCCCTTTTCCTCTTCCTATTTTTTTAGTTTATTTTTTTTTTTTTTTGTTTTTCAATTTAATTTTTTTTTTCCCTTTTCCTTTTTTCCCTTGATCTTTTTTCTATTATTTTTTTAATTTATTTTTAATAACGTTTTAATTTTTATTTTTATTTTTTTATTTTTTTTATTGGGATTTTTTTTTATTTGCATCGTGTTCTTTATTTTTTTTATATATTTTTAATTTTTTTAATATTATTTTTTATTTTTTTTTTCCCTCCTGTTCTTTTTTTTTATATTTATTTTTTATTATTTTTTGGCTTTATCACTTCACAAATTTCAGATTTCTTTTTTTATCTTTTTTTATTTTCATTTTTGTTTCTTTTTTATTTATATTTTTTTTTATCTTTTTCATTCTTTTTTCTATTTTTCATTTTTTTTTCTTCCTTTTTCACCGTTCTTTTTGTTTTTTATTAATTTTTATTATTATTATTATTATTTTAATTTTTTTGATTCTTGACGTTAATTTTTTATTTATTTATTTTTTCTTTCCCTTTCCCATCCTTCCTGATCTTTTTCATTTTCATTTTATTTTTTTTACTTCTTTTTTATTATTTTTTATTTTTTATTTTTTTATTTATTTTTTTATTAGTTTAGAAGTAACCCTTTAATGTAAATGTACTTTAGAAATATTTTTTGAGGATTTTTTTTTTATATTTAAATGTTTATAAAAATTTAAAATTGACTCATAACTTAATTTGAACTTGATTCAATTTGAATAAATTCAAGTCAAAATCGAATTGAGTTAAAATCGAGTCAAGTCAAATTAAGCTGAGTTTAAAATTTATATAACTTGAATCAAATCAAATTGAAAGATTTTATAAAATAAATTTGACTCAAAAAAAAGAGTCAAATAGAGTTGATCTTTAAACTCGACTTGACTCGACTCATTCAGAACTCTATCTAAGATATATATTTAGACTCTTAATATGAATTCATTCAATGGTAATACACTATAGTATAGTGAAGCTTCATATAGTAAATAAGGCTCAAATCAGATATTTTAGTTTTAATAATTATTAAATTATTTAAATTAAAAGTACAAAAAAGGTAATAATTCAATTACAATATTATTAAATTTATATTTTACTTAATATTCAATCTTATTAGTAATTAAATAACTATTATATTTTTTAATTACTAATGCCTATAATAAGAAAAGTCATATGATTTATATAAATTATATATAATTATGATGTAAAAATATATCAATTAATAATATTTTTTACAAATTTATTTTTATTTCTTAAAAAATAAAATCAAAGAAGATGTAAAATTTAATATTATAAACTTTTAAACAATCTATATTTACAACTATAGATGAGAGATAAAACCCTTTAATAACAGTCAAAACTTAGACAAAACTATATTAAAATCATAATAAGGGATACGACGAAATTCATTCGATATAACGAAAGCTGAAACTGTCGAAACTATATTAAAAACATAGAAAAAGGTATGACAAAATTATTTTGAGAAGGTTTTGGCAAGCATCTATATTTACAACCTAAAATATCCAAAATACTAACATTGAAAAAAAAATTTTATTTTTATGTAACAAATTCAAGATTATAATAGAAACTATTACAAACTTTACAAATTATAAATCTTGAATCATAAGATTTACCAATTAATATACCTTTTAATAATAGTAGTAGAAAAGGCTCTGATGTTTAATAATTATTACTTTTAAAATGTTAATTTTTACTTTAAATTATAATTATAAATGCTTATAAT